GGTCAGAGGGAGAAGCAGACTCCCCGCCGAGCAGGGAGCCCGATGCGGGACTCGATCCCGGGACTCCAGGATCATGACCTGAGCCGAAGGCAGTTGCTCAACCAACTGAGCCACCCAGGCGCCCTGGATAGCTGTTTTAAGAGACAGACCTAAATATGGCATCAAAAACAAAAACAGGAAAAGCTTGAGCAGTTGTATTAATATAAAACTAAAGAGATTCTAAGGCAAAAGACATTACTAGTGATGAAGAGAGTAAGTCCCTAATAATAAAAAGCTTACATCACCAGGGAGATACAATAACCCTAAACCTGTAATCACCCAATAACAGCCTCAAACTATGTAAAATACCAAGATGCAGACATGTCACTGAGGAAGATACACAGATGACATGTATGTACCTAAAAAGCTGTCCCATGGGATTAGCCATTAGGAAAATGGGATACGTGAAATATTGCACCCCAAACGGAGCTGCTAAAATAAAAACCCATGGTGACACCATTTGCTGGCTAGCAGGTGGAGAAATGGAATTGCTTGGACATTGTTGGTGGGAATGTCAAAAGATACAGCCATTCTGGGAAAGAGTTTGGTAGTTCCTTTTAAAACTAAAGTTAAGGGGCGGCTGGGTGGCTCAGTTGTTAAGCGTCTGCCTTCGGCTCGTGTCAGGGTCCCAGGGTCCTGGGATCGAGCCCCACGTCGGGCTCCCTGCTCCGCGGGAAGCCTGCTTCTCCCTCTCCCACCCCCCCTGCTTGTGTTCCCTCTCTCGCTGTGTCTCTCTCTGTCAAATAAATAAATAAATAAAATCTTTAAAAAAATAAAACTAAAGTTAACTTACCAAATGCGACAGCTAGTTAATTTTGTGTCACCCTGGCTGGGGTATGGTGCCCAGGCGTTCGGTCAAACACCTATGTGGATGTTGCTGTGAAGGGTTGCATTAGATACGATTCACATTCCCATCAGTAGACTCTGAGTAAAGTAGATCACTGGAATCTGGGTGGGCCCCATCCAATCAGTTTAAGGCCTTAAGAGAAAAGGGCAAAGCCCCTCAAAGAGGAAGGGATTCTGCCTGCAGATGCTGTTGGACTCAAGACTGCAACACTGAGCCCCGCCCCACCCACCGAGTCTCTCACCTGCTGACCTGCCCTGCAGACTTCAGACTTGCCATCTCCCACAACTGCGTGAGTCAGCGCCTCAAAATACATCTTTCCCTCTCGCTCACCATATACACACAGAGCCTGTATGAAGCATCCTAATACATGACACAAGCCAGCAGTTGCATTCTTGGGCATTTATCCCAGATAAATGAAG